CTTTTACACACAGTGAAATCTTTACACAGACGTTTCACACAGAGAAGCTTTCACACACAGAAGCTTTTACACAAAGAAGTCTTTACACAAAGTGGTTTTTACACACAGAAACTTTTACACACAAAAGCTTTTACACAGAGAAGTCTTTGCACAGAGGCGCCTTTACACGAAGTAACAAGTTGAAATTGGCAGCAGTTCTTCGGGAAAAACCCTTGGCAGGAGCTTTCGGGAACTCACTTGCTCCCCAAAAAAAGCCGTCTATTTCCAACAAAGTTCCTATTCGATGAACTTTTTTCAAAAAACATAAGGACTATATTTCTGAAGCAGGTCCCCATCCAAAAGCTTTCAAGCCCACACTGCGATGAAATGGAGGGTCGAGAAATCCGGCGGAGCCGACGAGGGGCGTCAGCCCTTAATTCGGCTCCGCCGGCTCCACACGAGTGGCTTGCCCTACGAGCGTCCCAGAGCGACTAGAGCTCTAAGGTAAGGCCGCCCCAAGCCGCCGACCCTCCGACGCCGGGCCCCGAAAAACACCAAAAATCCTTCAGGAGGGTGGGGGAGAGCTTTTTGGACGGAATCCGGGTCGCTCATAAGCGTCTCCAAGAGCATAATCCCGCCCCCCCCCGTTTTGAGGGTACCTAAAATCGGAAAAAAGCGCCGTTTTGACACATTTTTCGGGCAATTTTCAACTTTTCGAAAGTCACAAAATGCTGTAAATTACAGCATTTTTGCGTTTTAACGTCTTTTGCGGGAGCCATGCAAAAACGCAGAAAATGCTGTAAATACCAATACTTTTTGGACCCGAGATGCACAAAACACTGCAAATACCAGTGTTTTTGAAAGCAAAGCAAAAAAACACTGTAAATTACAGCATTGTTGGCAAGTTGATCGCAAAAAATGCTGGTATTTACACTGTTTCTGCAATTTCAAGGCAACGTGGAAGGCACGAAACACTGTAAATAGCGGTGTTTTAGCCACTTTTGGACGCTGAAACGCTGGTATTTACACAGTTTTTTGCCCGTGACGGCGCCAAGCATTTTCTTCCCTTTTTGAACCGATCTTTTGCGTTGATGAACGCAAAAAATGCTGGTATTTACGCGTTTTTCAAAAAATCGAAGATCGTGACGTGAACGAAACCCTGTAAATAATAACAGTGTTTTAGCCACTTTCGGGGACTAAAACTGTGGTATTTACGCGGGTTCTTGCCATCTGACAGCGCAAAATGCTGTAAATTACAACACTTTGTGCGCTGTTTATGTTCAATTTTTTAACCTGCGATGCTTTCACCTGTTCTTTGCATTCTTCAACAAGAAACAATGTTGCAGATTGAAACTGGACGACAGCGTGACCCGAAAGAAAGCTGGATGGAGGAGTCGCACAGAAGCTTTTACACATACAGGGGCTTTTACACAGAGAAGTCTTTACACAAAGGAGCTTTTTACACACAGAAGGTTTTACACAGAGAAGTCTTTACTCTAAGGAGCTTTTTGCGCACAACATCTAGGAGCTTTACACACAGAAGCTGTACACAAAGAGTCTTTACACAGAAGGCTTTTTTACACACAGACGCTTTTGCACACAAACTTTACACAGAGAAGCCTTCACGCAAAGGAGGCTTTTACACACAAAAGCATTGGGGGTTGGTCCTAATTACTGTTCCCACAAAGGCCTCTTGGGCCGAGCTTGCGCCAACCTTGCGCGTTTCTTGCGCGACCACACGCCCGGATCACTTTCATCATTTCAGTTGTTTTTCATCATTATTCTCGTACTTGTTTTCGAATGTTAAATATTTAGTATTCACTTAGTATTTCGTACTGGGAAGTAGTTTGTGCAAGCTTTGTAGTACACAGTAGTACTGGGAAGTAGTTTGTGCAAGCTTTGTAGTACACAGTAGTACTGGGAAGTAGTTTGTGCAAGCTTTGTAGTACAAAGTAGTACTGGGAAGTGTTGTGCAAGCTTTGTAGTACACAGTAGTACTGGGAAGCTTTGTGCAAGCTTTGTAGTACACAGTAGTACTGGGAAGTGTTTGTGCAAGCTTTGTAGTGCAAAGTAGTACTGGGAAGTAGTTTGTGCAAGCATGTAGTACAACAGTAGTACTGGGAAGTAGTTTGTGCAAGCTTTGTAGTGCAAAGTAGTACTGGGAAGTAGTTTGTGCAAGCTTTGTATTACACAGTAGTACTGGGAAGTGCTTTGTGCAAGCTTTGTAGTACACAGTAATACTGGGAAGTAGTACTGGGAAGTAGCTCTGCACGTGTTGAACTTCTGTGGTTTCAGAGCGGTTTCAGAGTGGTTTCAGACCCCTTCGGGGTGTCTAGCTGACCTTGATGAAAAGAACAATTTACAGACAGAAAAGACTTGAACACAACATACAAGGAAATACATTTAAAGAGCAGACAGATAGATAGATAGATAGATAGAGATAAAGCAGCCAACGCGGTCCGGAAGACATGCAGCAGCAGCCCGGAGATGGTGAGCAGGAAGGTGTTTCAGAGTGGTTTCA